CCCCAAAACCCCAAAACCCCAAAACCCCGTTAGTCTATTAGATATGGTTTTCGTAGATTATCATTATTAAATATAAATTATGACTCAATAAACAAGCTTAGCACAATAGCTAAATTAACTTAAGATTGCTCAGAAGGATGAGGTCAAGCTACCTTCAAGGACTAAACTTTCATTCTTATTTGATATCAAGCAAGCAGCAAATGTCGATGATTAAACCCTTTATTATATTGCTTTGACTGGAGTTAGAGATCTAATAAAAGACTTTCCTCAACTACAGGTTCATCTTGTTGACTATTAATCTGATATCCTCAATGAAAAATCATTGTAATTTTACAGAGGTACATAAACTCAAGATGCATTAAAGGAAGTGGAGGAAAGATTGGAGAGTTTAATCAAGCTTTTTGCACCATTTTTACTTCACAATGCCACTCACAGAGTTATTGAGTATTTAGTGCGAATCTATGAAATTAATGCTTTCCATAAGGAAACTCTATTGCTTTCATTCCTGCCATATTTTGAGACAGCTTTCTTCATTAAACTAATTTAGATAATTAATCTAAAGCATGATGACTTCTACTAGTTCCTAGATCAGTATGCCTTTAAAGGTCAAGCCATCGATAAGGCAACTTTGATAAAATCTCTCTCAAGAAACGACTCTCTCCTATTTAGCAAATACTCATAATTCTGCTTTGACTTATCTGAGTTTTTACAATAATTTAACATCATGAGTGAGGGATTTCTTCATTGGAAATTCTATGGTGCTATGATAGTTGAAATCTTGAAGTCATAAAATGGATAGACTCAGACATCATTGTTCAACCTCTTGCCATTCATCTCAAAGGGCATGAAATCAGAAATCAAAGACTTTAAAGTTTCCTCTCTAATGGCAATTTCACAACTTGCTTGCCGCAAATCATTATCGGCTCAATATGCTTAGGCATTCTTCAAGCAAGTATTACAGTCAATCAAGGACTATTCACTAAGAATGGAAGAAGATTTAGTTGAGAGAGGTGTACTTGTTCTCGGATTAATATGCTAATATCAATAGATTCAAGTCTTAGAGGAAAAAGATGTATAGACTCTACTTTAAATTACAAAAATCACATCTATTCTTCAAAAAGTTAACCATTAGTATGATCTTAGTTTCTTATTAAGAACAATCACTGTTACTAGTCTTACAAAGTAAGGAATCGATATCAAGCAAGTTTACCAAAAAGTCATTCAGAATCTACTCAACTTAAAACTTGCCTATATTTTGATTGAATCTGCCCTAGTTCTTTGCATGCAAAGTGAAGCTCACAATGATAATTGCCAAGATTTATTGAAACTTATAAAAGCTTAAAACCAATCTGACTACAATAACGTTATCCTGTTTATACTCAAGCAATCTAAAGATTCAAAAGACAAGATCCTAGGTATCCTTTAAGGGCACTCAGCTGATAATCTCTTCTCTAAATTTGGGGAGAAAGAATATTCACTATTGAGTGCTTTAGCCTCGCAATCTAAAATTACAAAACTTAATGCCTTAAAATCGATTTAAGAAAATCACAAGAAGTTAACAAGCAATGAGAGAGGTCTGATAAAGCTATCGCTAGTCCAGATGATATAAGCTGCTCAGGAAGAGGAATTAATCATTAGCTAGGTTATTCAAATCTTAGCGAAACTTATTAATGATGAGTAATAAGAGAGTAACGATTATGACTTTGAATACCTAAGTCAATTTCATGAATAAAATCTTAGCACAAAAAGATATTCTGATTCAATTAATGGTAGTGTTTTAGAATTATTGGTAGGGCTGACAGTTTAAACTAAGGACAACTAAATGCAAAAGTAAATCTTACTACTTTCTTTAAAGAATGTTAAAACAGCTAATGTGCCTGTTTTATTTAGCATTATTTCTAAAAAGCATGAAATATCCTAGAATGAACTTATCCAAGAGCTAAATACGAATCAAAACAGTCACGATGTTTTAATAATTCTACTTAGAAATTTCAAATAATACACACAAAGCACAGATATTGCTCAAATTATTAAGCATTAGTTTGAATCAAGATCATAGTAAGATAAGCTTTCCCTAGCCTAGGATATTTTAAAAGCAATTAAGTCATCAATTAAAGTTATTCCTAAGGAACTCTAAATATAGATATTAGATTAAGTTTTAGAATTATTATCAAAGGGAATCAACTCTATGGACAATAAACTTATTTCTCTCTTAATAGGCTATGGATTGAAACTAAAGCACCAATCTAATTCCTTCGATATGAATAAACTTCTTGGAGATATTATTAAACTATTTTTCCAAAACGACTTAAAACAGTATGTATCATTCCTAATATCTTTTGGAGTTGAAAGCAAAAATGCTTAAAAGCGGAAATTCGCAATCATGAATCTCAAGGAGATTTCAAAGCTTAGTATAATAACTCCAGCTTTTATGGTTATGAGTACACTCATTTATCTCAATGATGAATCAAGTCTAGTTAGAATGGAAGCCATCAATCTCGCCAAGCAACTAATAGTCTAATCAGAGAATCTAAACTAGATTGAGATATTTAATAACACTCAAAAACCAAAATCAGCCAAGAAACAGAATGACAGACAAGATTTCACACCTTTGAAATCCAAGCCTCTAAAATCTATACTTAAGGATCTTGTTGCTATGGGAAATGAAATTATCACCGATAAATCTTAACTTCAAATAGTACTGAGTAATTCCCCTCATACAAAAGTTATTGATTAAGTAGTCCGACATATTCTTGACTTACCAACTATCACTCTCAAGAGCAAATTTGTTGAAATTTTAAGTCTTTTAACCAACTTCTCTTTGGTGTTCTCAATGAGTTTACAAGAATAGCTCAATAAAGAGTTCTTTTAATTGAAGCAAGGCAAAACTGCTGAGCAAGAACTTGCTTATCTATATTAAATCGGTAGTCTTATTTAATAAATCTGCAAGAAATAAGGATCTGATATGGTAGAGGAGCACATTTCTTCCTTACTATTTCCATATCTTAAAATAGTATTTACCCTTCCTTTGAATTACTAGCATGAAGATCTTGTTCTTAATCTTCTTACTAAAGTGGTAATAAGAGATAATTAAATTAATCTTAAGCCAGCGAATGTAAGCGAATTGCTAAAATACTATCTTAAATCCCAAGTTTTGATTGTTTCCAAACTTATAAGACAATAAATTAAGGAAGCATATATCAATATTAAAGAAGAAACATTTTCAGATAAAGAAATTTTACCGATTTTAGGGGAAATAAAATTAAATTTATAAAACAAGAAAAAAGATCACAGTCAAGATTTAAGTCAGTATGAGGTTCTTTTAGAATTGCTTGGCTAAATTAGAGTGGAAAACGATTATCAAATTTTGTAGCCATTATTCCATATAGTTCAATTTCTCTCTCAAGCTAAGCAAGTTGATAACTAATTCTACCTTATTGAAGTATCAAATCAAGTTGCCCTTTAAATTGTTGAGAATAAAAAGAATTCAAAGAAAAATCTTGGGCAAAACTTTGATCTAATATTAAATGTACTTAATTAATCCTATGAGAATTTGAAATCAGAGGTTAATAACAGATTAGAAAATCATAGACAAAGTGCTTTTGATCCATTTAAAGAGTTCATGATGGAGATTGAAAATAAAACTGAAAATTAGAATGATGAAAATGATGGGGATTCAAATCAAGAGTTTATAGGCAGATTTTAAATAATCTCTTCAATATTGAATCTTGTCTCGTAATACGAGCTTATTACATCTAATAATCAAGTAGTGACTAATAAGTTTATGGATAGATTGTCAAATATGATTATAGAGTTGACTCAAAATGAGAAATCCCATTCATCAACTGGAAGTAACCTTGTGCTTCAACTCTTCAGATTTTATTTAAATTAGATTGTCAGAATTTTGAAGTAACAAGGCAAGAGAAATTAAGACCAGAAGCAAATATTGTCCTAATTCATTGACACTTTACTTATGCTATAAGATTTTGTTACTGATATTAAAATGCATTACGGATTTTTAGAGAAAGTTTTGATCGCTCTTGAAGGTAAATATACCACTTTCATTGTATTCGTACTACTAATTCATGCTAAGGATTAGATTTCAGTCAAGGAAAATCTATAGGTTGATAGTTTAGAGACAAACTTGATTGAGAAAGTCATAGGTGATTATCTTAGTCCACTAAAATCCCTATAATTATTGGAAGAACTTTTATTCTTTGTCACTTCTCTGAGACTTTCTGAAACTTCTAATGAGTTTATCAAATCCAGATTACTGCTCGTTTTTAACTAAGATATCGTTAATAAGAGAATGGACGATGTTTTCTGGTGTGAACAAAAGTATTTAATTGATAATGACAAGGAAGCAAGAAGACTAAAATATTTGACTGTTTACATGCTCAACAATATGATTAGTAATAGTACTTAGTTCTAGAAGCAACTCGCTATTATTACTCACACCGAAAGCAAAGAACTTAAGTCATCATATTAATTGTTCTACCAAATTTACCTTTCTTCAGCTGTATTTAATAAATCTGTTAATAACTTACTATAAAACAAGGAATACATAATTGACAAAAAGAGTAAAAAATCTTTGAAACGGTTATTTGGAAGAGTTTAGGATTTCCAAAAGAATCTCAACAATCTGCTTTCTTATGAAATTTAAATTGACATTGTTAAAAAAGTGTTAGACTTCGAGGATAAATAGACTCTTTATCTAAAAACTTAATCTGTACAATTACTCCTTAATAAAACACCATAATTTTCTTAAGGGCTTTCTAAGATTCAAGAAAAAGAACTCGTGTCATAATTTGAAACTTTAGTCTAAATGTCTCTAAAGATCTTACAAAGTTAATAAGAGCAAGGAGGTGCCAAGTAAAATAATGAAAAATAAAGTTTCACTTAAGCACTTTTTAGTTTGATAGAAAGAACATACTCCAATCTTTAGTCAGTTGAAACAAAAAGAAACATATTAGATCTTACTATTAAATATCTTAAGAATGCTGAAAATTATGGTTTCTTTTTGCATTCCCAACTGATTCTGAACTTAGTGAATATTTTCGAAGTCTAACAGCTTGAAATTCTTGAACACTTACCCTAGTATATTGATCAAATTATTGCTGCTTTTAAAAGATTAGATCAAAGTGAGGAAAGCAGAGATTTTTTCACTGACTCTTTCACAAAAACTGTCTTAAAAGCTAGCTTATCAGTATGTGTTTATTTCTCTAAATTTATGACTCCTTTATAATATTAGCAAATACTTGAGAACGTTATAGTAATCCCTGATAATTATGAAAATGAAGTAAAGTAAATTCTTGAGATTATTGCTTAGGTTTCAACTCAAGCAGCTGGTTTGAAAGTTATATTCTAAGCATTGATAAATTGCTACGATTCGGTAATCATTGAAGAAGGTATTGAAAATAAGAAATACAAAAATCTCTCCCAAATAATAATTAGGTTCTTCGATTAATTAATGAAGAGAGTTATTTAGAGAATGAAAAAAGATTTTTGTTAGGAAAACTACAAAAAGATCAACCTATTTTTCAGAAGTGCTTTCAGTATCACAAATAATTTCCATAAAAATAATTAAGATGATATGAAAGACTTCAAGGAAATTGAACTTTCAGTATCTAGATCTTTTGAACAATTTGTAATAAAACTCAACGAAGATCAACTTAGACTTATCATTGTCAAATTGACCAAGTGGGGTTTTAAATCAACCAAGGAAGATACTTCTTTCCATTACAATATCCACAAAACAACTTAATTTTTCAGAGCTATTAATACAGTATTGAATGGACTGAAAGAATTCTTCGTTCCTTTACTACCACTTTATCTTGAAAAATTAATTGATGTTTTGACTGTATTTGGACAATCTAAAATTAGTCAAGGTAAGAAAAGAACTCAAAGTTAATTCAGTTTTGAATATGAAAACATTGATAGCACACATACTATGTATGATTTAATGATTTTGGCATGCGAGAATATAAGACTTAATTTCCTCTATGACAATATGGCTTTTATCTAAAATGATACTTTTGAAAAGTTATCAGAACCTTTATCCAATCTTTCAACTCTTGAAGTACTTGGAAATTAATATTTAAATTTCATTGAAGATTCTTTAAAACCAACCGTATTAGAAATCATTGAAAGAATCAATAACGATGATATGTGGAAGAAGATTAACAATGAACTCTTTATGCATACAAGACATACTAACCCAATGATAAGACTTGGTACATTTAGAATAATTGAGAATCTCTACATGAAACTAGGAGAGAGATTCCTCATTCTCCTCAATGACACTATTCAATTCCTCTCTGAAGGAATGGAGGACGAGAATCCTGATGTTGAAGCAACTGCAAGATCAATAGTTCAAAGAATCGAGCAAATTACTGGTGACAGTATTCACGAATATCTTAAGTGAAGATGAGATATAATTAAACCTGAATTAAGTTATTTTTAATTTCATAATTAACAATCTAGAAGCAAAATACACTTATCGGGGTTTTGGGGTTTTGGGGTTTTGGGGAGATCG